ATACATTTACCCATAAATTCAAAACAACAAGTCAACTATTTAATTAAAAATTCTAGCACCAACTCAGCATTCCTCTCTTAATCCTGTTCCCACTAAGACAATGCTGCTATTGATTCTGATTTGACTATTAGATAGGAGTCTGTTGCTACTAAGCCTGCATTTGAACATGTACATATTCCACAATGTTGCTTTGGAATATTTTGGAGTCCTGCAGCAACAGAAAACTGAATTCCTCCCTTATGAAATTTTATTTGTGAGGTAGTGTACATTGAGGGTCAGGCCAAGTGAGTAATAACCAGTGAAGTAAATGGGAGCAAGAAACTTCCTGCTTTCTAGCACAACTATTCTCAGGAGCACAGCTGTGATCTGTATACTCCCCAGAGAGAAGTCAGTGCAAGGTAGAAAGGAAAGGGATAGGATGACAGCATCTCTTTGAGGTTTGTCTTTTTCTGCCCTGTTCCAGAAGATTATTGTCACAGGAAATGGAGTAGTCTCTGCAATCAGAAAGATAGGCAGAGGCCATTATGACTGCCCTGCAATGAGAACAACTCCTGACGGACAGAGGTCAGCCATAGCTGAGCCTTTCTAACCTTCTCATTTTTGTAACTGCCCTAAGAGAAGAACAGCACTGATTCTGGACCTGTGTTATTTTCCCCTCTCCATCCAATAAAAAATTCAGTACACACAAGTATGAGAGATAAATAATTCTCATTATATTTGCTATGTATTTCGATAGGTTCTATAAGATTAAGAACATTATCTGGAAAGCCAGCTGTGTCCTTTACTCCTACTCCTCCCTGTTATTGATAAGTCCCTTACTCAAATGGATGACATGTTGAACCTCATTGCACTGACGTTTTGGACTTTATCTGCTGGTTCTTATCTCTTCTGCCATGCAAAATACGTAAATGAAAACCCAACTTCTGCACGTTAACAGGAAAAAAAAAAGAAAAAAAAAAGAGAAGAAGCACGTCTATTCCTTCTGCTTTCTCTACAAGCAGAAGACCTGAATGCTAATGAAAGTCCCTAATATCAGAGCAGAATATCAACAGGGAGCATGAGTCCTACTTCAGCAGTAAAAAATATATTGCAGCTGCTGCATCTTTGTCAGTATACATGCAGATGGTGCAGGATGTTCTCTGTATCAGTCAATGCTATGAGTCCAGAAACACGTTGCTGCTCTTATTGCTTCTTCCACGTCTAGCAACCCAAGTAATGAGTAGCTTACATCATGGCAGGCACTTCACACAGACAGAGAACAGTCTGCCTCAGAAGGCTTAGATTTATGTCAACCAAATACACACACACAAAATGGCAAGAGGAAAAACAGTTTGTGAAGAACACAAGATCTGTAGGAAACATGGGATGAAGCTGGCTCTCCTTGTGGAGTCAAAATCCTTCTGGAATGATCTCCTCTCTGCTGCTTCAACATACACGACCACATGGTGAATTCATGCACAGCCACATCGTTTCCAAAGGACACCTGGGACTCACAGTGAAGAACAGCTCAAATCTATCATTGCCTGTCCCCTACAAGTGACAAGTGACAGTCTGTTAGCCAGCAACATTCATTGCTGGTGGACTGTTTCTGATGGGGTGTTTGTGGAGCAAAGTTTTAACTGCAAGGGCAAATAGAAACCAGCATGTCTGTGTATACCTCTCTCACTTGTGTCTGGTGTTTGTGACCTTTCTTATCAGCTGAATAATAAAATTAATAGGATAATCAATTTTCTTTTGATGGATAATGAATGCAAGAAAAATGATTATGTGGTTATGCTTTTATTTCATGTTAATTATTAAGTGTTTATGCTCATGAACTCTTTGCTTACTTAAAATAGCAGGACAGTTAGAAACTATTGGAAAAGTTGATGAATCTAGATTTGCATTAAAACACTTAGTTCAGAACACATACACTGAAATAAGTGAAACTTACAGCTGAATGGGAAAACTTAAAGTCTAATTTTTATGTTAAGGACTGCAACAGAGTATTACAATACATGACAGAACATAATACTATGCTTTGAAGTGAGACAGACAGAATTTCCAAAGCTTTTTGAATGTTTCACTGCTTAAAATTACTTTAGATATTAGAAGTGGGGTATTTTATGAAGTAGCAGTGAAAAAAAGAATAAAGGTTACATTTTATGTTTCTTAATGGTTTTCATAAAGCCTGCAGCCTGGCAAGTGAAAGCATTACTTTCATTAGAAACAATACAGTACATACTATTGTATAGCTCAACCACATATTAAAAAATACCTCCTGACACTGAAAGATCTTCAGTTGGAAGAATCAAGTGGGATAAGTTCAGTGTTTGGTTACTGAGAAAAATCATAGAATCACTCAAGTTGGAAAAGACCTTAGAGATCATTGAGTCCAACCGTGACCTAACCATGCTACCCTAAGTAACAACGCTCTGCTAAATTATGTCCCTGAGCAAAATGATGTGTATATAGCATTACCAAAAACTCCAATGTTTTGGGAAAGGATTTACTGTTACAGAACTTTTAAAGAATATACTATTTAACAGAAATGAATCTTCTATGCTGATTGATACTGTAGGATTTTTTGGGGACAGACAAATACTTAGAGACTGTGCATTGTCTGAGGGAAGGGTATCCTCTTAACTAGATACCTCAATGTTTATTAAAAAAAAAAAAAGAAAATATAATTTTGGTGGGATACTTTGTTATTCCCAGGTTAGCATTACCATTTTCAGTGTTAAAAGGGCAATCGTGTACACATTTTTGGTTACAGGTTATGGTAAAGGCAAGATTTAGTTGCATAAATCCAATGTGGCTTTTGTTAACTGCCATCAGTAAAGTCTGATTCTGTCCCATCTCTTTAAAACTGCATTTTTTTCTTGTAAAAAATCGATGTTTTATTCTCTTATGTTTGCTGTTAGCTCTTATGGTATCAGATTTTTGTATTCTGGTAGTTAACAAACTGCTACTGCACTTAGAGGCACAGTAGAAGTGATTGGAATTGTCATGTTAATGAAACTCAGGTTTAATAATTAAATCCTGGTAACTAGAGGAAAGGATATGCCTTCTAAAAATTCCTTCAAGGCCTGTGGCTGAGTAATTGTTATGCAGATTTAACTCATTCCAAATTTTTTGAAATTGACTATTCAAAGTTTTTACTCCAAATTGCATGACATCTTGTGTACTTCTAAGCAAAGGTGTACGTAGTACCTTTACCCTAATTTTAGTACTGAATATAATGATGTTTTTCAGGGCTTGTACATATTTTGCACTCTCATTGCAACAAGTTACTACTGCCTTTTGCTGAAACCTTTGCTTGGCACGCTTCGTTTAATGGCAAATTGCCTGGGTACAGGCAGCTGTGAGATGGCATTTCTTTGCTTTTCAAGTCAAGTAGCACTTATCTGTGCACAAAGGGCAGTGCTGGTAGTATTGAACAGAGAAAAAAAAAAAGAGAGAAGAGAAAGAGGGAGCAATTTGCTAGTTCTACAAACATTTTCTGTAACCAAATAAATTACTTTATGTGAATGAGTTCTTAGCTCTGAGCACACGAGGTGGTACATTAGATAACTGCATATTATCCACTCTGCAGGATCAATGACTGAACAGCGGGTGTTCTCCTATGTGTTTATTCCTTCTTTTGGTCAGTGCATTTGGTTTGGCAAGCATTCGAATAACATTCAATAGGAAATGAGCAATTTCCTTGTATCCTTTCCCATTAATAGAAACCTTCAATTCCTTGCAGAAGATTCTTGGCTGGGAGAAAGCCAATACAATTTAACTTTCAGGCAGCCCTAAGGAGATCACTTACATACTAACTTCAAACATGCTGCTCAGTAGGCTCAAGGTCACGGCTTCTCTAATTGTTGTATAATTGAAAAATGTTGTTAATTTCGTTAGCTGCATTATTATTGCTGTATGCATGTTAAAGAATATTCCTCTGCAGGCACTGGTGTAGCAGATTAGATCAGAATTATTTTGTTGTAACAAAATGTGTGTTACATACAATGTATAAGTGTAGAAATGTCCTTCCTCCATTATGCTGCTGTATAAGTGAATCCAGTCCAAAATAACAAAATATCTTACGTACAAGATCAGGGAAAGATCTGCTAAGAGTGTTCTGAATTTGCAACTATTTTTACATCAGAATTAAGTTAAAAAGCATTGTTTTTGAAAATGCCAGGAGAAAATAAAATTATGGAGGTATTTAAGATACAGTATTTAATGATTCTGTCAGAGGAAATTATCTGATTTGAACCTCTGAGTGGAATGTGTGTGCATGTATATACCTGTGTGTGTATAAACTGTAGTTACCGTGTACTGTAGAAATATACAATATCTTTGATATCTTATTTCACAGACTTCACATTTTATGCAAGACTATTGCTCATCTGTGCTTCCTGATGCATTAAGCTGACTCTGTGTTACTGCACATATATGATAACAGGGTGTACTGGGGCTAGTTTGTGTAATTTTATCACACCATGGCAAAAAAATTATCCTGCCCTAACACACATTTTATTTATAGGCCAGTAGGACAGAAACCTTCCCATAATTTATCTTTTATAACACTCGACATAGTCTGATATCAGGTAGTGGACAAAATGAGGTCAATTCCAGCTCCTGTGGTACAACTTCTTGAATACAAAAACAGCAGAGATAAACAGCGTGACTCTTTATTAGTGGAACAAACTCGAACTAACAGCTCTGAAGTTTCAGTCTCTTGTGGCAGAGGAGGTTATCGCTTTGGTTACTGCTAATTCAGCATGTAGGAATGTGCAGTACCAATGACCCGAAATATGCAGGGTTTTGTACCTTCTTATAAAAATCAGGGGTAACCTTATCATGAGGAAAAATGTCAGGCTTCCTATTTCCACATGGCTTTTATATTTACTTCATCTAAGCAGCAAATGTTGCTGAGCCAGTTAGCCAGATATTCATATTAGTTTTGTACGAAACCTTTCTCCTTCTCAGGCCCTGTCTCCATCACACCAGAGCAGAGCTCAGCGCTGCCCCTCCACTCCCCATGAGGAGCTGCAGCAGCCTTCAGGCCTCCCCTCAGCTCCTCTGCTCTGGGCTGCACAAACCAACGGATTTCAGGCAGTCCTCATGTGTCTTGCCTTCTAAACCTTCCACCATCTTCATTGTCCTCCTTTGGACACTTTCTAATCGTTTTATGTCCTTCTAAGACTGTGGTACCCAGAACTGTACACAGTTCTCAAGGTGAGGTGTTGAGTGGGTAGCAGTGACCACACACGGGTTCTGCTCTAATGTACTAGACATGAAATTATATCCTAGAAATAATTATAAAAAACCAAACACAATGCCAGATCTCTTGTATCAAATACAAAACCCAGGAGCAAGTAAAGCTGTAATTAAAAACTGTAATTAAAATTAAAAAATTTTAACATGACAGAGCACAGTCTTTGGTTGAGATAAAGCATCCATGTCAGCATGTTATCTTAATCATGCCCTTGCCTGTCTATAAGAAACAAACAAACAAACAAAGTCTACATTTTTTAAAGTCCTATAGCCTTGTTTTTTGGAAGATGTATTAATATTTCCTGAATCAATGTTCTGTCTCCATGCACAGCCATTACACACTTCACAGAGATTCAGCAGCAATATTTCTAGAGGATTGAACAGCTTGTCTCAGGACTTCAGAAATGAAAGATAAAAGGAAAGTTTTGAAGGTTCAGTATTTTAGAGAGCTCATTTTTTTTATGCTGTGATTTTTTTTTTTTTTTTAATATATCAAAAGCATACTTGACATTGCCAAGGACAAAGCAATTTCTTTCACCTGTGTTTTTGCACTCAAGCTTAGTGGATATCCAAAGGCATCCTTTGTAAGCTATCACTGTGAGTTCAGCTGCAGTTTTGCTCTCCCATATTTTACTGGAGATATTTGTGGATGCCCTCTGGATCTGAGGTAGCATGGCATTCACAGAGAATTCTGTGAATCCTTCCTCAGGTCTGGGGCTGTAGGGTCACCCCAGGCTATCAGGTCACACACCATTGTGCAGAGCTATGCGGTGTACTGGCAGCATCAGCTGCTGGCTGAGCACTGAGCTGGCTACGCATGCAGGGAAGTGCTCTCAGATATCTAGTTAGTGCTTGATCTTTGCTGTTTGGGATCTCCTGCCTCAGCAGAAAACCTCCACACGGGAGATATTGCCTCAAAGGTATTCTCTTCCTGGAAGTGTTTTAAGTACAGTGGTGGAATAGTGCCAAAAATGTATTTTAGCAAACAAACAATGCCAGTCACTGGTGTAAGTGATTAGCTCCAATTCACGTGCAAATAGTGACAGCAGATAAAGGGCCTATAGGGCATCCCCACAGAAGAACAGAACACTGGTAGGAAGGAGGAAAACTGCTGCCCGTACACTTGCCAATAATGGTAAGTACTCTGTGGAATGAAATCCTGGAAAGTGATGATCCACACCATTTACTGTTGTTACCAAAGCAAACAAATGACTCTGTGAAATAAAAGATTCTAATTCAGAGTTTTAAAATTTATATTTCATTGGATTCATATTTTAGATACAGATCCAACTAGCTTGTTGAACTCATGTAACATTGTACAGTATTTTAATTTGTGTATTTTCTGACTATCAAAAATGCAATCATTTTTTCTTTTATTTTTCTTCAATAGCTTATTACCCAACACTACAAATGAGTCATTTCTTTTCAGACTGCATTACAGAATACAGCAATGAACAGAACAGAAAATCTCCAGGAGAGAGGCCAAGAGAGGGTGTTCTGCACAGCGAGATATTCTTGCTACAAGTAAAATGTGATCAAAGGCATTGAAATATCAGCCTAAGGGCTCCCTAAATCATCTAGTAGCAGATTGGAGCAGTGTACCCCACAGATCCATGAACTGGTTTGTTTCTGGCAGGAAGAGATGGAGATGACAAAACCTTTGAAAGTCAGGAATGTGTCTGGCTGTGTATTACTGAACTTTCCTACAAGACTCAAACCTGACTAGTTTGTTCTGCTGTGCACCAATACATGCAGCAGTTCTTGCTTGGGATGCACTGAGAATCACAGTGTATCATCCAAAAATTCACAGAGTTACATATAAACAGAGATATTACTGCTTATTACAGCTCAGCAAAGTGGACTCTTAGACCAGCCAACCAACTTATAAGACCTGGATTTCAGGTGCTAAAGGTGAGCACAAGAGCACCTTCCTTGGGATGAACATGCTTGCAGAAAGCCTGATGCCAGAGGTATCCCAAGCTATACAAGGTGAGCTTTAAGTCTTGTACGGACAATTCAACAGTTAGCATTTTCTAAGCATGTCAAGACAAATTTGAATGCAATTATAAAATATTGGTCCTAAAAATTCAGAAATATAACACATATAAAATATCACAACAGCATAATTATGTATAGCAAGGTACAGTACTTGATTTCCAGCAGTTTAGCAGCTTCTACTGCTCGTTCTGCAATTGCTGTTGGAGGCTCATGTAATCTAATTGGCTTTTGCAATAGCAATAACAAGAGTTAGAGTCTGTACTCCAAGGATCAGCATTAATAAAGCAGGATTATGATCTTTACAGACCTCAGTCAAAAGCCAGGGATCATGGTTTCAAATATAAACAGCATGCACTATTCAGAAGCAAAACTACTTTTTGTAATTGTTTTTAGCAATGGAAAAGAAGAAAATTACAAGACAGAAATGGCAAGATGTCTGACAAGAAGTGTTTCTCTCAGATGTTAGCAGCCCAAGTTGTTAAGATGTTTCATAAAAGATCAGAAAAAGCATAATAAATTATAATAAATACTTTGCGTGAGACACTGAACACATTACACATTAATATGCACAATCAGCTAGACTTTGTGTTCATGTATAAATACTTTAAGTAACAGCCCCAGCACCCTGCTTGGTACAGATGTGCTTGAAGGCAGAGCAGGTAGGACACAGCTCACTCCTTTCCCTGTAACATGCTGTAAGTGATAAAGTGGGCTCTGCCAAGATATGCATCATTTTGAGCTCTGGAAAAGACAGGGAACCAATGTCCAGATTAGAAGCATCAAATTCAACTGGAATGTGAGTTCAGGGACTCGGCCCAGCAGAGTCTTAAAAGGCCTCCTTTGAGCTGTGAAAGGGTGTTTAACTAGAGTTGTGTGCCTATAGGATAACATGGGATTCAGAAGAATTGTATACAACTCTCAACATGCACAAATTCATCAGAATTAATCTTTTGGCCTGTATGGTTCTCGCAGTGTCAGCTCTCTTCATTCACTGCTGCAAGGGCAAACAATGAGCTTTGTGCTGACTCCTGGAAACACCCTGCCTGGGCCAGAGGGCTAGGGTTTCATTCTGGGTCTTATCCTGTGTAATTTCTCTTGGTAATGCAGATAAAGCAGGAAACAGTATCCAGAAATGTGGCAGCTACAGCGATTTAGGGATGCTCCATTTTGAGTCCTGAAAGACAGTAAACAGTAATCAGAACCCAAAGCATTTATCATCAAGAATTGCTTTTGAAAACATGGCTTGCACTCTGCTTTCCCTTTTATGACTCATGCTCAGTCCTGCCTTACTTTGCTAGTATTTAAAAGGGAAAAAAGAAAACCGCAGATCACCATTAAAATATCAGAAATGATCTCAAAGTGCCTTCTCTCTATAGCTGTACTCAGTTAATGCACCTTATAGTAAAGAAATTGCAGGCCTTCACTTACCAGCATGATATACAAATTAAAGAAATTTAACAAAAATGTGTTTTTTTGATATTTCTTTCTTTCTTTCCTTATTGACTGAAATAATTGGTGCTCAGATTAAGACATGACAGATGCATGACCTTCTCCAATATTCTGTCCAGAATGATGGAGTGGATACACGTTTGCCTAAACAGTGGAATGGGTCAGAAGAAAGCAGAAAGTAGCTATTCTAAAAATACATATTTATGTGTTCTTAATAAAAACCACAAGTGAAACAGTCTTTTCTACCATCATTGAGAAAATACATGGGAAAGAACTAATTTGTCCCTTGATCCTCATTAGATGCCGTCAGTGGTTTCTGCACTTGCAGAAAAAGGTTTTTTTCTCTGTAAATGGAGAAGCTGTGCATGGAAAGCGGTGATAAAGCCCGAGGCACTCCTCATTCTGGGTGCTTTTCCAAGCAGCTCAGTGGAGCTCAAATGCTTCTTTAAACAATTTCAGCTTTGAAGAAGCAGCAGGGGATCTTAAAATCAGAAAATAATGTGTTCACAGCTACCTGACTGAGATTTTTTGAATGAGGGATTGGAAGCACATGACCACATGAAATTTTTAAACTGAATTAAAAATATAATATTTATGTAACTGTCCTTCCTGTTACTTTTTTCAGACCTCCAGTATTGTGACAGAGAAACAGTCCTCCACAGGGCATAATATTGCAGCACAAGACCTTGTTCCCATAGACAAAATTTCTTAATTTAATCTTCATCTAAACAAACATTCCCTTACATAAAATAGAATAATAATCTCAGTGGTTTATACTGTGTTTTCAGTCTCTTAGCAAAGTAAACACCGACCCCCTGCCTCTTCCATCTCCTGCTTCCTTTCCCATGTGCTTTGTGTCTCTAAGCTTTTGACCCATGCCTGCATCTATTTGATCTTCTCAGACCTAACAGCTCTGCTGTGCTGCAGAGTTAATGAGCCATGGAAACGAGATCTGCCACCTTTATTGCAAAGTCATAGAAGAAGCTTTTCTACTTTATGGGAAACATCTTCATGTTGGTGTCAGAGACCCATCTGACCCTCTCCACACTTGAACACAACCTCTCTTATCTTTCTTCTTTAATTCTCCAGAGTTGCTTAGTTTTTTTGTTTGTTTGTTTTTCTGAGTTACTAGATTCTTGATTATTTTTAGAGCTTTTGCCACAGAATATGTTCAGATTTTTTTTTTTTAATTGATGAATTTCACAGACAGAAATGCATATTTCAGTTAAGACAGGAACAACATAAAAAGAAATCCTTTTGATTCAATCCAGATATCCTAATTCAATCCTAAATCCAGATATCATTTCTAAAAACAGTTTATTTTCAAGAGGAAGGGAATAAAAAATATAGTAATTCAGGACATTCTTCTCAGTTTGATTGCTGCTTACATTATTGAAAAATAAGTATTTAAAAATACAACAGTGACACACTTTTGGAGAAATCATTCTACTTTGAGCAGCTGGCACCTCTTTTGATATCACTGATTTCATAGCATAATATCAGATGTGTTTTTCTTTTCCCTATTCCTCCTCATTTACCAAAGCAGTATGATGGTTGGTGCTCCTTTCCTTATTCGGAATAAACTGTCACTGTTATGGGTTTCTGCTAAAGGTTTCTGGCAAATGTTAAATACTGAGTGGTGAGTATTAAGCAAGTGAGTATCATGCAGTTCCAAAATGATGCAGGAATAAAAACACTGATGATGATCATGACAAAATGGCAAAAATCATATGTAGTAATGATTCATATGTATTTGATTTGTGACATTTTGTAAGTGTGGACCATGATACCAGCATATTCTGAGACATATAATACCTGTTTTACATCATCCAGCAAGTGATTTAAGAACCCTTATTTTTCCCCTTGGAGTTTATTTATTGGGACAGAAAACCTGATTGATTCCTAGCAGGGGCCATATTTTAGCAGCTTCTGCCATTACATTTTATTTATTAGTGAATTTCTACATCTTTCTGACAGAGATAAGGATCTCCACGATGGTGTCACTGTCAGAAGCGTCCATATGGAAATGGAAACTTGCTTTTCTTGCTTCTTAAAGACTGTCTAAAAGACAGTTCACAGAACTCAGGGATTTCCAGAGAGTAGGCTGAAAATCACTATTCTGTAACATTCTTTTGAGTATTACTCCATAAATTAGATGTACATCGCAAATGCAGGGTATGATTATTTCAAGCCTGAAATAGAAACAACCTAGAACTGGTATGAGCCAAAAGTCTGAACTGACAAGAAAGCTCACCAAGTTGATTGGAAAGTGAGATTACAGGTCCTCACATACAGAATTAAAATGTAGCTCTGTTGAATTCTACACTTTCAAGTAGCTCGAAGAGATTTGCATTTGATCAGAAGGTCTCTATTTGAAACTGGAAATGTACTTCTTGTGCCTTATCATGGGCCACTGATTCACATTAAAAGAGTGATCACGTTGACATTAACAATAGAGATGGAAAATCTTTATAGCCACTCTTTTTCCTGCTTGGTGTCTATCTAAGCAAAATCCGTGGCAAAGGAAAGTTCCACACAAAAGTTTGTAACTGCCTTTGTATTGGACCTCTCCAGCAGAAAAAGAAACAAGAAACTGTAGACGGTCACAAGTTGGGCTACAGACAAGATTACCTCCTTGCCTGCTATCATGGCAGCTAATTACTGGCACAACTAAAATCACAGTAGGAAAAGAAGCGTTCAGTTTTGCAGCAATAGCATACCTCTAAGACAATTTCACAAGTGGAATTTTGATAAAGAAGGAACTGATTCCAGGTGTGCTTCTTTTAAGACCTCAGCTAATGAGAAACTGTGCTCCTTTCAACAGATTGCTTCTAACTTTGGTAGTCTGAGAGGAGCTGGTGCTGAGCAATATAAAACATACTTAACAACATCATGGTTCTTATTTAATAATATGCAGGTACAGAAACTGGGGGTAACTGGAATGTGTAACTAAGTACATGAAAATAAACAAAGTTTCTGAAAGCAAATGCAAGCATGGATCCATTTTGTCACGTTCCTAGATAATGACCTACGGCTGGCTTTTGCAGTTTCTTGAAAGATACAGGTTCTGATCTCTTTTCATAAAATGGTAAAGAAGTAAATGTGACAAGTAAAATAAATGATAGCAGGGAAGTAACATCTCATATCATCTTGCCTGTCTTTTCCAAGAAGTGTGGAAAGATGTTACAATCTGATGTGAACATGCAGAGGCTAAACATTCAAAAAACTTCTGAAATGGCCAGTAAACTATTTTGGCTTCACTGCATATTAATTTAGGTACTTTATAAATGTCTTTAAGGGTCTCCAAAACTATGGCATAGCTCATTCAGTTCATCAGTCATTAAAATACTGGAGACAGTGAGCACTAGCAACAAAGCAGAGATGAAGGCCTATGCACTACAGAGAGGAAGTAAAAGCCCCCTCTAAGAGCTGATATCATCAGTTAGGTAGAGGAGTCACTTCCCAAATGAAATCAGATAGAGCTCTAACAATAGCCACCCGGAAATCACAGAAATCTGCAGGATTCATTTGTTTCCAAGAAGACCTAGATGTTTTCCTAAATTTCAGAAGTTGATCTACACAGTGTTTGTCTTCAGCAAGTTCAACAAGGAGTATGACAAAGATCCTGTTGTCTTTGCCTCCAAGCTTGGTTGTGTTTGTGTGTAAGTTGCTACCTGATGAGCCATTTATATACTGCATTCCAAGTTATTTCCTCTACTGCACCAACAATGCCTAATCTGATTTCCTATGATAAGAATCCACTGCTGCGTGTAGATGTCAACATCCATCAAAAATTCAAAAACAAGCTGGTTTTGAGTTATTACAATGGTAATTCTTATAAATGTAGCCATGACAGCTCCATTTCTGAGATGTGAGATTTGTCATACATCTAATTTTTGATCACTAGACTGTGACTATTTCAACCTATCCACCTTTGATGTTCGTTTCCTCTCTTATACCTAGACTGCTAAGGACTCTTGATTCCCATGACTGCCTCTGTATCTACTTACATGCCATTTAGGGACTGTTGTAATACTGAAGGAATCTTTTTAAGGTCTTGGATGAATGGCCATAGCTTTTCAAGGATGTTTCTACTGTACCCAGTGTGCTCACAAGATTAGGTAAGAGTTGTCAAGTGTCAATATCTGCTATATTTTTACCATTGTTATTGTTTCACAAAATCCTACCTTGTCTGACACCTAAATTAATTTATATTCCATTTTATGTGATGCTAATTTTCTAGTGCAATCCTTATAGCTCTTTCCAATCCTGTGCATTATTTATGCTCACATGAACTACCACAGAATTGCAATGACAATTTGTTGAAGCAATAATTGCTTTTGATCCCAAATCAGAATATTATTTCTATTTATTTATTAATTGAAAAATAAATAGTAAATGTGGGGACACACTTAGGAGAGGGAATGAGACAGTTTATTTATAAACCAGTACAATTAAAGCTAGCCACTTAGAAACAGTGCTTTCCATCATGTAAATGTAAACGTCCTTGGAGGTGTTCAAGGCCAGGTTGGATGGGGCCCTGGGCAGCCTGGTTTAGCATTAAATGTGGAGGTTGGTGGCCCTGCATGTGGCAGGGGGGTTGGAGATTCATGATCCTTGAGGTCCCTTCCAACCCTGGCCATTCTGTGATTCTGTGATGTAAATAATTACCAGTACTTATTGTAGGGAAAAGGCAGACTAAACCAAAGTTTGGATTAGCAATCTGCAAACGAACATGAAAGCTGCTCTTAAATTGCAGTGTAGGGAAATAGATGGAAGAGTGTTTGTCTCAGGAGGGTGGTACTGATGTTGAAAGGATACTTAATTTAACAAAATAAGTTAACCAGAAGGTCTCCTTAAGCACTGTAAGCAGCAGGAAGAGTCTCCGAGAGGGTGATGCAAGCTGTGTAAACTAAGTTCCTGATGCTGATCCTATTTAGAAGAGCTCGTTGGTCTGCCTTGGGTACACAGGTAGTTTTTGGGAGTCTGTTTGCCTAGGTTGCACAGATAAAGTTGCAGAGTATTAGGATATCTCCTCACCTCAGCTGCCTTCTCTTTGTTCAATACCAATGTAGTTGACAATGACAGTGTTCAACTTTGTCATCATCCAGCATTTCATTAAAGACCCCAGAATGCTGACTGCACTGTATTTCCTTGTAAAGCTGTTGATGGAAATTTTTTCAGATCATTTATAACTCAAAAGATAGATATTTTCCAAGATCATAAGCGATAGTAACTCTTCTGAGGTATTGAACTGAATTTCTATTTGCTAGTAGTGTCAGACTCTCTCTGGAATGATACAATACATTTCCACAGAAACAATGGCACTTCATTCCCTCTATCAGATTTTTTTTTTCATTGTCATAATACTTAATGTTCTACTTACAGTTCACAGATGGTATATAGAGTAGTCACTAGGAGTTCACTGATCCATAAGAGATCATAGGTATAGTGACCCCAATTGCCCCACATCAATGTACTTGACCACACAAACACAAGATTTGCATCCAAATGAGTGTTTGGAAAAATACTTTATGAGCCATAATGAATCTACACTGTTGTGTAACTCCAGTTAATGTGCTTTTGCAGTTGATTTTAAAACTATTTGGGCATTTCAGAATCAATTAGGCGGAAAAATTCAAAACTTTTAGAAAGGTTCAAATTCACTGCTGACATTTAATTTAAGGTCAAGAAGTCTCCAGAGAAAATGTAAATAGTACAAACACTTGTCAGTCCCTTCTAAATGGTCTTTGCTCAAGGTGGTGGTGTTTAGGTTTTGGATAAACTTCTCTATTGCTCATTTTACATGCAAACAATCATTTTTGTGTAAAAACGAAATTATAATGTTCATGAAATCATCTCACTTTAATTATAAATTTGAAATTGGGAAGGTATTACACAAGTTCACTCTGCCTGGATTTAATAATAGTTCTGAATGTCAATTCTGAAACTGTACCTTGGGAAAGCTTTTCAAGCTGTAATTAGTTTGTTACTACAAAATTTTGCAAGCTTTCAGTACCAATCATATAGGAATTCACTGCTTCTATGCTTGTCCTCCTCTGTTTTCAACAGAGCGTCTTAAGTACGTAAGTTGCACATGTGCATAATGTAGATGATGGTCAATGTCAGTGAATGGCAGAAATATCCTAGATTTGAAAGCTCAACATTTGAGATGGAGAGAGGATTTTTTTTACCTTTTATCTTCTGTGTATCTACCAAATCTCTGCTGTGCAGAATGAGAAAGTTCCTAGAGAAAGTGTCTTCCTTTTTTTTTTTTTCATGGCAGCAAGATTTCAGAACTGATTTAAGAACTGGCTCTGTTGAATTCAATGCAGCTCAACTTCTACAATAATACTCAGTGAAAAGTGAATCAAATATTTATTTTTATTATAGTTTCACTATGACATCTACCAATATGAACTTCAGCAAACTGATTTTAGAGTTGCTTTACTGTATGCTCAGCAGCGGAAATTTTTTGCACATAAAATCTGCTGCGTCGTCAGATTGCTGTCATTTAAATGTAATTTTATTACAAAAATCATTGTAATATTTGTCACATTATGACCAGTTTTCACAGAAATATGAGACTTTGTGAGTAACTGGCTTGTAACACAATTAGTGGTCACACAGGGATTAAGGACAGCAGTGATTACCCTTGACTTCAGTACAGTAAAGCACTTAGGTCAATGAAAACTACTGTTATCACCAGCAGGGCTGTACATATTGCTAAAAAAAGCATTTGTCTACATACTCACATAGACCATAGTCCAAGATTTTATTCATTTATACTGGAGATAAAACGTGTGAGCATTTCTAATTTTTCAATTTTTCAAAAGCAATGACTTTTGTTTCAGTAGCCTAACGTAGTGGAGTTGACTGAAGGCTATGAGTCTAAGTAAAGTTTGCCCTCTTTATAAAATGATTCACTGTCTTCAAATATGTAATCTTGGTACCCAGAATGTTTTTTGATTAAGCTGTTGTTTTCTAACATGGTTTGTAAGCTATCTGCAGAGACTCTGTATGTATATGTGTGCATCCTTATATTTTTATCACAAACATTGAACTACCTTAATTCATCCAGCTTTATAGAAAAATCATTACATTACTTGCTGTCAGAGGTGGAAGTGTGAAAAAATGAAATTAGTACTTAAATTATGTTTTTCTTTGGGCTAATATAAGGAACAGCTGTTTCCTATGAAGGGAAGGGTAGATCCCCTTTTTACATTTTACAAAGGAAACTTAAGATTAATTAGAACAATTAACCTACATGGTAAAAGTGTCTTTTGGAATCTTCCACGTCCCCACAGGTTTTCAGTTCAGCTTTCCTGCTCTCAGTTGTATGCTCTCCTTTCCTCACCATTTGTTTCAAAGGGGAGTGAATTATTATTGCTCACTCTGCAAACAGAAAAGTGCACAAAAGAATAGGTTGAGCAAAACATATTAACAGAATCTCACATAAAATGAGAATATCTTACTCTCAGTCCTATTTTAGTCCAACTGCTGATTTTAAGGTATAAAAGTCATGATAGTTAGTACTTATCTGTAGAACTGAGCTGACATTTCCTTCCATTTGAACAGCCAAGCCATTGTGAAAAGCAAGGTAAATCTCCTAAAGCTGATTGGAATTGCTGTTGTGATACTGCCTTATTTTTACTATTAAATTTGTTTTTTTGCATTTTGTTACTCTAAACTTCTGCCAGCTTTTTGGTTAAAAAGATTCATGTGTGTCCATTACTACCAAAATATGCAGCATGTAGAGTATTTCTTGACGAAAAGCAAGAGAAACTATACCACCTACTTCAAGACTTAATATCTTTCTGAAAGGTAGTAGTCACTTCCGTCAAGTAGTAATAGAGTTCAGAGTACTTTCTGCTAGAAAAAGAAGTCTGTAAATAATCCATCCAATCTGGTATTCCAGGCCAAGTAGAGCGAGGCCCTGGAATGATTTGATCTAGTGCCCATTTTGATAGTTGGCAACACTATTCAA